TAGACTGAACTCCTTATAACATTATTTACAGAGACCCAGGGTTAGGATTAGCACTCCAGAGATAGTTTCTATCAGAGAGCACTTTACCCAGGGACACTGGAAGCCGGTAGAGTTGGGGGTGCTAAGACAAAGTCTGTCTATGTAATGATGTTTTACTAAATGCACAAAATTCATGGTTTTGCATTCATTTGAATAGTGTGGATCATTTATGACAAATTTCACAGTTATTAACAACATTTCTACAAACTTGTAAAACTTTTTAGCAAATGATTTGAAAAAGAAACAAGGCAAAATCTATTTCCTGCTATAAATACTAGTGTACACATGTGAATCCCAGTTTTAAACAAAAGAAAGAAAAACAAAGGAGAAAGTCAAAACTGTGCCTGAAAACCAGTCAGCAGCTAATTCATAAAGGCCGGACTTAAGGTTACTTACTTACTTTTGATTTGTAGGTTACACTTCCAATACAGCAGTAACCTGTATTTCCCATAGAGCCTGAATGCAGCACAGGTTACTATAAACATAAATCAAGGATTAAGGAAATATATGTATCTTCATGCATCTTGTATGACGAAACCAAAGTTTGCTGTCCCTTCATGCTGCACACATAGGGAACATAACAGATAATTTGATTTACATTAGAATTAAGTATAAAATAAATACAATAAAACAATATATCCTATTTATATGCATAGATATCTACATTATACACTCAACAACCCATTGTAAATATGACCAATAAAAGTATTTTGTCAACAGCTGATAGTCTTATCATGTTACCAGCTATTGTCATTTCTGTGATTTGTCAGCCATCACCAGGCTGTGACTGAGAGGGAGGGGTCATGGGACAGCTCTGGCTTATATCTCAGTCTCATGGTTGTCCTTTAAAGGCTCACTCAAGTTTTTGGATTATATTTCACAGCCATTTTCTGGATTTAAATAAAACAGTAAACAGTTAGTTGTTGCCTATGGTCTTCGCTATTAAGATATGAGGATAGTACAGGTACAGGTTAGTATTTTTGAGTTTAGATGGTGGGCTGATGTATTTGTTTACAGTAGATCATGGATTGTGCCTTTAAAGCAGCACGAGCCTTTAACAGTGTTTCATAATTTGAGCAGTTTCTCTAAAGCTGATTTTGCATCTCAGGAAAGTAAAATCTCTTGATAGGTGAACTGTACAGGCTCATGGCCTGGTCTCAAGTCAAACAGCCATAGGGGGCGATCTTCCTCAGCATTATTCTCATCTTTGGGGAATTTTGAAAATGAAATAAACTGATGTTTAAAAGGAACAAAAAGGCATCGCTCCAACATGATTTATTGTGGTTTGCTATAGGCCAAGTTATTTAACATGGTTTATTCTATAGCCTGTAAAAATGTACGCCATATAGTCAGGTCTTAAAAAAATCATTCTATTGCTTTTGACTACATCACATTTTAGAACAATTTCAGTTCACCACTATGACAATTCTTCCTCAATGTTTTGCCAGGTCGAGGTAAATATGAACTGATCCTGTTCTGAATAGAGAATGAGCTAAGAGAGAGATGCATTTTGTCATTAGAGCAGGTTTTTTTTGGAAGAGGTCAAACAGAGAGTGGACATAAAACTTTGGATGTGTCAACCAGCCATTTTATTTTTGCAACAAAAACTGATAACATGATAACATGCAGCTCTATACCTTCCCAAATGTGGCATCCGATATGTAGAGAAAACAAGAAGACAACCTAGATTCAGAATTAATGAACATACAAGTGCTATCCATCACCTGATCCTAAAACAGCTGTGGCTAGATACTTTACTCTATTCTATTTGGCCATTCAATGTGAATGCAGATATATCTTTTACCTTAAAACTCTAAAGCTATTTGGCTTATATGAACTTTTTTTTGCCCATTCCCATATGAGCTAACATTTGTATGTCTCGCTATATATCAGTAGTTGCATCAGAATCAGAATCACTTTTATTGGCTTGGTACAGGACAACAAGCTCAACAAAATAGACATAGACTACTATGTACAGTTATACATATATATACACATATAAACTAATATTTGTAGACAGTAGACAACTAGTGCAAAGGATGCCTGAATAAGATTGGATGTATAACATTGAACAGTTGATACATATATACATACAGCATAATATAATATATATATAATATATACTATATATTATATATATGCTACCTATGCTGTGCATACTGCATACATATGCACGTATGCAGTTATGCACAGCATAGGTAGATGTATTTGAATGATTGTATTGATATTTAAAAAACAACATTCAACAATGGAAAAATAAATAATAAATAGTTTACAGGTGCAGTAGATGTTAGGGTACCAGGGTATTATTTTAATCGGGATTGTTCATTACACTGTGAATGAATGTGAGAATGTGCTAATACTATTGAACTATATTATTCTGATGTGCTTGTAATGACTTGACCTGCTGGCAATTGACTTCATGTCAAGACCTACATCATAGGTGCTATGATGCTTCATTCTGCACTGGACTGGAACATAAGCCCTCAGTTCAGATTGTCACTGTCTGTACAACATGTATTTAATAGAAATATTTAAACTTGAGTGTGAGTCTCTTTTTGTTTTGTATGCGTGAGTCATCCCTTGCTGCGCTGCAACCAACCATTGGTCAATACACTCCTGTCTCTTTTTCGCGCACCTAAATTAGGAGGAAAATTCGTTTGGTGTTGTGTGCCTGAACGCAGCAGCTCAGGACAACTGGGTGACTGTGGACTGCTGAACTGGTAACAGTCACATTTAACCTATTGATTTGACACACACTCATATTTTCTGACCTGTAACGAACTTTCACTCTGTTTAAAACACACCTTTGTTTCTTCTTTACGTTCATGTGCAGAAAGCATATTAAATATGACCAAAGATTATTAGACATCTTATTGAAATTAACTGTAAACACAATGAATCATCAATAGATTAATTAATAAAGGCTAAGTTAATTCAAAAAGGGCAACTTGCTCTTTAATAGTGAGTGACTGAGTGGAGATTTGGTGTAGGTGATTTTAGTGTAATAACCAGTTTGTACCATCCGTTTGAATGTTGGATTAACGCAGGACAGCAGCAGCAGTGGAGATCAGAAGGACGTAACGTACCCACGTTTAAAAAATACAGTGAGTGCTGCTAAAGTGAAGAAGAAGACACTTTCTGATCATTTACCTTCTGCGTCATTTTCCCACAATAAAATAATAATAAAAAAACACTAGAGTAAAATGCCTAGGAGCTCTACTATACAGAATGCACTAAACACATATTGGCCCTAAACCACATTAGCGCTACTGTCAAACTAGGACACTTAAAACGCATCATTGAAGTGTAGGCCTAATAAAATAAACACACAACAATAATAATATAAACACACAACAATAACAATAATAGGCTGAATAAACATGACTGTGTGAATCCAATCATCACATATGTTCATTATTCACACACCGTGAGCTGATGAGCTGCTACTGCTCAAAGAAAGAAAGAAAGAGAGAGAGAGAGAAAAGGTAAATCAGCTGTCAGAGCATTTCTTTATTTCACTTTCACACTAAATGCGCTCTTTATACACTCTGTTCTCCATCCTCCCTCCCTCGGATCTCTACCTGTGCTCATTCAACTCAGACAACGCTGCTGAGAACTTGATGTTTGCAGTGTATACATACTTATTTTTCTGTGGGCATTGGGCACACACACGTCTAAATCCCCTCTGACTCCCATCATTCTGTAGTGTTCTGTGGTCCAGTAATACAAATCACAATTCACAACGATCCTTACTGCCTGAAGTCAAGCAGCATAAATTAATGTGCAAATACTACTGGCACATTGAGTATGTTAAATACTCATTTAGTATTTAACTGGACGGGCCGCTAAAGTTTTTCTCTAGGAATCATTAATGAGATTAAAATCTTAATCTGCAGATCAAACACAACGGAAATTATTTTGAAATCCAATCACATCCCTGGATTCATTTTTGTAATCGTGGAGGAAACTAGTTTAAGTTTAACAAACAAAATTGGATTTTTATCGTCGTAAATCTGAATTTTGGGAAGAAAGGGCACAATTAGGTTACCAATTTTTGGGAGTAGCCGAAATTAATATAACTAGCAGTGTAACTAATTACTGTTGGCAGGGAGCAAAAAGTAAAGTAATTATATTAGTGAGTGA